GGCGGAGCTGCGTCGTCGCGCTGGGGGAGACCCGCGCCTTTCTGCCCGCAGCGCCGGGACGGGCGAGCGGCAACTCTCCGCGGCCGTGGTGCGCCGCACGGCGGGGGACGGCAGCTCCCCGGGCGGGAGCAGAGGGGCGAGCCCCCGGTCAGACGGAGCTCGCTGGCGGGCGGGGAATGGCGTGGAAAGTCCCCAGGGTCGAGCGACCTTCGTCACGGCACGGAGGCAGATTTCCCCCCCGCCCCAGCATGGCCCTGGGAAGAGTCCTTTTTCAGTCTTCGGCTGCTACTTGCCTAAGCGTCAGGGACGAGGATCTGGCGCTTTCCAAGTATCTCCTCCTTTTGGAGACCACGGTCACGTTTCAGGCTGCTTGAAGAGCAGGGCAGCGCTTCGCGCCTGTTTGCACTGAGAATGCTATCAAAGCTGGGTATTAGAAGCTGTCTTTTCACCAAAACAGTATTTTGCTCTTCATTTTGAATTGAAATCCTATGGAAAGAAACCACAAGCATAGAAACCTAAGACATCCCTAGTTTGGATTTGTTGCCTCTTGGCAGAAGGTTGTTCGTGCGTTTCCTCAGGCACAAGCATCCAAAACCTGCCTCTTTATTTTTCAGCCAAAGGTGTTTTCTGATATATTTCAGCAGTCTTCCCTTCGCTGTTATAATGTTGTCATATATGTTGTCATATAAACGTCCCGCATATATTTGCAGCCTACTTTCAATGAAGTATCCTAATGCAAATAGGGTATAATCCTTTATTTTGGAAGAATTTTTACGGTAATCCTGTCATGAGAAAAAAGAGGTTGGGGTGTGAACAGAAAATACCGACTCATGTAATTGACTAACATGGCAAACAGGTATTTATTTTTAGATCAGGTATTTTATATTTGCTTTTTGCCTCCTAATTAAGACGACTTCATCCACTAGTGCCAATACAAATAATTTTCAAGCCAGTAAGTATCCGATTTCCATTGTACTGTTATGATATTCTTGGTAATTAGAACAGAGACTGGAAATTTTTTAAACAAATTTTGAACAGCAAAGCTGGCAGCTTAGCCTGTAAAAAAATCAACATATTTAAGGCAAACTAGCTGTACCAGTTCATAACAGATTGTTAACATTTGGTCATGTTTTTTAAGATCCTAGCTGCTTTGTGCCTTGGAGACCACAGTCTTCATAAAGCAGCCCACTGTGTTATTCCTGCTGTGACACTGAAAATTGGAACACGTTTCTTGTTAACGTGCTTGTCTGTAAGACTAACTCATAATTCAAACGATTTACCTAGAATCTTCTCTGATAAAATATGTACTTTGTTAAAACAGTAGTAGCTGTCAAAATAACATAGACTGTAAGATGAGAGCCAGCTCCACACCTTGTCTTATTTGGAACCATCTGTAGTTCCACGTATGCGGATTTTGCCAACATCTGCAAACCACAGTAGGTCTCTGATTGTCATTCCAATACTAAGGACTAAATCTTAGTTTGTAAGAATTATCTACGCACTTGCTAATTTGACTCCATACGTTTACTTTTATTTAGCAATCAATAAAATGACCCTGAAGAACAGAAAATATATTTGTGAAGAATTGTAAATGGGACAGTAGATGGAAATAAGGCAAAATAACACTGAAAAGGAAAGAGCAATGCTTTTGCATATTCAGCAGATAGTATTGCTACAGGGCTCTGTAGCGGAAGGTAGCTAGCATTATCCTTATAAAAACAACTGTTTTCAGTGTCTCTGTGTATCTCCAGTTCCCATGATCTCATTATGCTCTACAAATATCTCTAGCTCCTTTTTAGCATGCATTATAAAGGGAAGTGTATGTGATCATGCTGGTTTGTGTGCATATGTTTAATGCGAGTGCCCTACCTCAAAATTTTGAGGCTGTTGGCTGAAGTCAAATCTGACTGAGAGGTAGTTGTCTCAAAAAATTATTTCCTACAGTTGTAATTAAAGTAGGCACCTGGGCAGAAGTCAGAACCCCTACTAATATCCTCACCGATAGGAAGGTTCAGTGCAGACTCAACCCTCATTAAACACAAGGGAATCCACACAGAGGGAGACATTATGAATGCTCTTATCCTAAAGAAAACATCAACAGACACATTCATCTTCTTAGATACCAGCAGATCCAAGTGCAAGATGCAAATGCTTGAGACACTATACAGTGAGTCAGTGGCAAAGACAGGAATAGAAACATTGCCCTGCTCTTATTCCTATATTGGGCACGGTGGAGTGAAGTGTAAGCTTATCGGAGAGGGAGGAAAGAGAGACATGGGGGAAAACACAATGCCGTATGAAAAGCTGTGTGTGAAGTGAGTTGGAAATGCTGTAAACTTTGATTTTAAGACCTGTAGCTATTTCTTGAGTTAATCTTACTCGGGATAGAATAGGAAGGGTCTGAGCAAAATAATGCAAAAAACACTGATGGACTGGATAAAATGGTCTCTTGTGACTGCAGAAAATTTGAAAGCTCATTCCATCTGTGAAAAAATAAACTTACCCAGAGAATATACATAAAACGTATTGCAATATATAGAATGTCTCTATATTGTACGTTTTCTAAATCCAGTTACTGTATTCAAAATCTCTCTCCCTCCAAGAAGAGAAAGAAGGAAGCCTGGACAGACAGACCTATGGAACAAACCAGAAACAGTTTCCTTCTCCCTCCCCTTTCCTTCTCCTTGTGTTACTTTTCCCTTGTAAAACTACCTCATCCTAGACTCAGTGCTCATGCGTTTATAGCACATATTATGATCAAGAGGAGATCTGATTCAGAAACTTAATTTTAAGCCTTTGATGGTTTACTACGATTGCATTCGGAGCTCCTGCCCCTGTCTAGATCTCTGATGTGCTAGCTGGCTGGACAACTGAAGCAGGTTAAAACTCAGTGCTCAACGGGACATGATATTTCAACCCAAGCCTCAAGGTGCCTCCTAGAAGAGCACCACAGTCCTCACGTCCTGTGCTGTCGTGCTGCAGTCGGCTGGGGAGAATGAGCCTCCAGCCGCTTAATGACAGGGTCCGCACTGTGCCTGCGAGCTGCGTGCAGACTAACGCCAAGTCTCACTGATGTTACATGGTCTCATAAAGACAGCGACTGTGGATTTCAGCCACGTTTATCCAGTGCCAATCATTACTGCTTTGTCAAACGAATGTAATACCAACAGTGGTTAATTAAATAGTTCATTTAATTTTGAGAACTTGTCCAAATGGGGGAGCATTATTATAACCAACTTCATGAAGTGGTATAATTTAATGGAATGTGATCACACTGTGTAAAGATGTATTGAGGTAGTGGGAAAATGATGCTCTGAATAAGTTGTCTTCCTTGCAGCTGAAAAACCATTTGATACAGTACGTGAACTGGACTAAACTGGGGCTTGTGATTACCTTTACAGCTACTTTTGGGGACTGATTTTAAATGTCTTGGAAGAAAATGTCATTGAAAGCAATAATGTTACATCTGAAACCAACATGATTGCCTATCCATCTACCCCTCTCTATATAGCTAAAGAATCTATCCAATTTTGTATATATGTGCATGTGTGTGTGTGTGTACACTTCCCATCTTGGCTTTATGGATTATATTCATGCTTTCGATGCCATGTGAGTTTTGTGAACTTGATCATACGCTGAGACTGCCAATCTATTTGTGTAGTGAATCCAGCATTTACTGTTGAAAATAGATGACCTTTTTATTACAGAGGTATGGATTAGCTGTATGATAGAATTGGAAGTCACTGAATAACTCATTGTTTCAGAAACTGTCTAGACAAGTTAAAGAAAGAATAACTAAATCAACAGCTAAGTATCAAAAGCATGTTTAGCCTGTTTAGGCTTAACAGAAATAATTTGAATTTGTGATATCCGAGTCCACTGTAGATCTTCACATCATTTGAAGTTAATATGGTTCTTACAGTGATTTCACTATGAGTTGTTTAGTAAATCAGCTCCTGAGTTTAGAATACCTTTAAAGTTAAGTAAGGAAGAATAGAAGTGATGTAAGTATTGCAGCATGCTCCAACATTCTCATCCAGACCGGGAACTTCATTAGAGCATCTCCTGGCTCCCTTCCTGCTGTTCTACGCAAGTTTCCTTCCCATGGATGCCAGCGTGCCCAGGGAGTGATGGTGTTAGCACACACTGGACTCTCTCACTGCGGCTGGGTCAGGATATATCTAGGCAGTACACGCAGGAATATCTGGACCTAAAAGTTTGGGTGTTTTCAGAGTTTCCTCAGTGTAGACATCATGGGTGTTAGTTAAGGGCCTGATACTGGCTTCTAGCAGATACCAAGGCATTTGGTTGAGACTCTACTGAGCTATCCTTTTCAATCCAAAGTCTTGAGTGAATCCCTCATTGGGAATGCCTGGAGACAGCACTGTAGAGTTATAATTTAAATACAGGTGCACTATTTTGACCCTTCAGGTCTCACATAAAAGCTGCATATTTTTTGAAGCTGCACTTCATCTGTAAGTGCTTTCAGAGTTCTTGGGTATGTCACCTGGACGTGATGACTCTTATGCTTTTAAAATGATAAGATTGCTCGGGTTTAACTTACAGCTACTCTTCAGTCTGACAGAATGCCTTATTTTCACTAATAGAAAATATTACGTCAATGGTAGCTGTCTTCCCATCGTGTTCTCCAGTTTAGAACTGAAGTAGAGGAGACAACATTCCCCTTCCTAGGACTGCCTAAATCTTCTTTGATTACTCCCTTTAACCTCTGGTGATTCAGGAAATGCACAGATCCATTCAGGGCCATACCAATGCTTCTAATTCCTTCCTTATCCTCTATCTGCTGTAGTTTGCTATTCCTGAGGCTGTTTTCAGTACTTAATTTTGGAGCTGGACCCCAGAATTCAAAAGGACTGCACTTTGCCTTAGCTGTCACTACACATTAATCATTTAGCTACATTGGGTTTTTGGCAAATTGCTTTCCTGGTATTCAGAGGCACATGTCTGTTTGAACGTCTCTGTGGTTT